TATTTATTTATTTATTTATTTAATCTGGATTCTTTTTTTTTTTTTTGCTTTTTAGACAATGAGAAGACACAGAAATGAAGTAACAATTGAACTGCGGAAGGTAATTTGATCTGCTTTTGCTTATCGGCTGTAAATTTTCTTAATTTTGACATTTTCTAGTGTCTTCATCTATTACTATTGTTGTGTTTCTACTACAAGCCTGTATTCAAGGCCCCATGTCCTATATAGAATGTTAGGCTTAAATTGTCTTGTGGACTCTAGAAGTATGAAGTATTTCTTCACTTGCCCACTCCCTCCTAGTCTTCTCGCCCCCATTGCCTACTTTTAGCTCAGCTTAGCTTAGTCAACATATAGCCGTTGCTATGTGTATTTAATTTGGAATAAAGTTCAGTTTAATACTCTGTGAACTGAGGGGTGAAAACATTATTTGCTCTGCCACCAAATTTTCAATGAACTACTACCTTTTGTATTGCAAAGCATTGTAGAAGCTGTCAAGAAGCTGGAAGCTTGAAATCTTGGAACGGAGCAGTTCTGGCACTTCAGAGGGTGTGGGAGGTCTTGTTTTTTGGTTCTCAGGCCTGATCTACAGTACTTAGTTAGGTTGACATAAGTTTCCGTGCATCGACCTATTTGTGCATGCGCCTACACTCAAATTTATCTCCAGGTGATGTAAGCACCCTGTCACACTGATACAGTGTATATAACCACCTCCCCAAATGGTATGGAGCCATAGTTGACCTACTGAGGTCAATGCAGTGTGAGTGTAGACCCTGCATGACCTGTGTCAACCCTAACAGTCCTCCACCATCTGTCCCATAATACCCCATTCCCTGCGACAGTGACTACTCTGGCCACAACTGTAAACTCTGCTTCTCAGGAGTCAGAGACTGGAAGCCACCGTCCCCCCTCCCACCCATACCATTTAAGCTCCCCCATGTGTTGGTTTTTTTTATGCCATTTCCTGATTGCACAGCGTGGCAAGCACATCTAGCAGCTCACCCTTGTGTGCAACCGCCCAACTGACTGTGGTGGGTCCATGCACTAGATGCAGTGCTGCCTGCAGTAGACCGGAGGTATTGGAACTTCTGCCTGTGGGAAGAAGAGGTTTCAAGCACCGCTATAGACCCGTTGTAGAAACATGGACATCTATGAACAGATTGTATGTGGGATGCCGCCCAAGGGGTATGATGGGAATAAGCAACAGTGAAGCATGAAAGCAAAGGAACTTCAGTAGGAATATCACAAGGTCAGGGAGGCCAACAATAAATGAGACGGTGACCTTACAGCAAGCTGCATACCATTCTTGTTGGAGACAAGTCAGCCCTGGGGCCAGTATGCTAGGCAGTAAAGCCAGCATAGAGGCCTGTACATATCGATGAGGCTCATTCAGAGCCCAAATATTAGCTCCAAATGTGAAGAGAAGTCTGAGAAGGCGGAAACTAAACATCAGTCCTCAAAGAACAGCCTAAGGCCTTGTCCACACTACAGAGTTTTATCAACACACCTTAAGCAGACAATAACAAACTGGTATAATTACATGACTTGCACATGTTCACACTAAGCTCCTTCTGTTGGCAGAGCATGTACACACTTGGTGCTCTAGCATTGACAGTGAGAGCAGTGCACTGTAGGTAGCTATCCCACTATGCTTCTATGCCACCTTCTAAAGCTAGGAGTTGTGGTAAGGCAGAATGAATCTTAGTGCATCATGGGTGTGGACTCAATGTCCCATGCAGTTCTTTCTGTCCCAACATTCCATGGGCTTCTGACTGCATTTCATGGCATTTTTCAATGGCCTCTGTTACTATGTGCCTGCTATCTGTCTGAAAGGATGGGTCCTCCACTGCACTTTACTGTTGCGACCACTGTTCTGAACACATCACAGATGCTCATGCAGTATATCATGAGCACACAGTCTGAACAGGAATCAGAGTTGCCTGACCTGCTGTGTGCCATGGAAAGAAACAACACCAGATTACTTTGGTCATTCATGGAGCAGCTGAATACTGTGGACTGTCGCTTTTGGGCTCAGGAAACCAGCATTGAGTGGTGGGATCCCATCATTATGCAGGTCTGGGATGACAAGCAGTGGTTGTAGAACTTTCGGCTGCGAAAAGCCACCTTCCTAACTGGCAGAGCGATAGATGGCATGCATATTCCAATTTTGGCCCTGGACCGTCTTGCGATGGAATACATCAATAAAGGGGGTACTTCTCTATGGTATTGCTGACACTTGTGGATCACCATGGGCGTTTCACTGACATCAACGTGGGGTGGTCCAGGAAGGTACATAACACAAGCATCTTCAGAAACACTGGCCTGTACAGAAAGCTCCAAGCAGCGACTTCCTTTCCCGGCCAGAAGATTCCAGTTGGGGATGTTGGAATGCCCATAGTGATCCTGGGAGATCCAGTGTACTCCTTACTCCCATGGCTCATGAAGCCTTACATGGGAAACCTGGACAGCAGCAAGGAGCACTTCAACCATAGGCTGAGCAGGTGCAGAATGACCATGGAATGTGCCTTTGGCAGATTAAAAGCACACTGGCGCTGCCTTTATGGCAGATTAGACCTAAATAAGAAAACATTCCCATGGTCATAGGAGCCTGCTGCAGCTCCATAATATTTGTGAGGCTAAAGGTGGAAAAAAAAAAAATTTTCCCCCTCTCCTCTCCCCCCCGCCCCAGGCTGGAGTGCAGAGGTGGATCGCCTGGCTGCTGAATTTGAGCAGCCAGATACCAGGGCTGTTAGAGGGTCACAAGCGGAAGCTATTCGAATCGGGGAGGCTTTGAGGCAACATATTGATAATGAGTCCTAGTAATGTCGTTTCATACAGCACTTTAACTTGCTGCCTTGCATGAAAATTGTGGTGATTCATGACTAGGATTTTTAGTCAACAAATGATCAAACTGCCACTATGTATTACTACCAGCAGCAACCACCACATGTAGGAGACAGATTGGTTATCTTTCAAAGAGTTTTTTATTAAATACCAATTAACACACAAAAGACTTAATGGGAAGGGAGATAACAGTGCTGGGCAGTGTCGTGTCTCATAACTCTGTGTAAGTCAAGCTATCATTTTGGAAGCTGTCCAAAGGAGTGGAGTGAATGGAGTACCGAGACGTTCCAGGAAGTTGCAAGGAATGTTTGGAAGGGGTTTGGGGAGGGCATTGAAAGCAGTTCTGTATTGGCTGCAGGAGGGGGCTGAGCACATGTTTCTATCTGGGGCATGATTAGGGTCTTCAACATCTGTTTGCTCCTCCATCACTTTTATCATTCGCTCCTAGCCTTTAACTATGCACTCCTCACACTCCTTTCTGTCCTGCAGGGTGTTTTTCCACTCTGTTCTCTTTTTTTTAAGCCTCCAGGTATTGGAGCATCTCTCAGAACATGTCCTCCTTGTTCCATCTTGGTCGCTTTCTTATCTGGTGGAGGCACTCGGCTGGAGTGTCGGGGGTTCCCCCGAAGGTCATATCTGCAGTAGCATAAGAAACAATACGCAGCAGCATGATTGTTAGTTCACGCACAGCATTGAATCATAGTGAAATACACCTCTTTTAACATACCAATCACTTTCTCGCTGTCCTTTGACAAGCAAACATCTCGGTGAACGCCCTGAATATGGTGAGTTCGGCCTGGGCATTAAGGAAGGGCCAAAGGGTCTAGGTGGTTTTTAAGGGGATCAGTGCAGGTGACTAAGGACAATATTGTAAATTTTGTCACCATTTTCCACAGGCGGGGTTGATTGAAGCCGATACTTTGCTCCTGAATAAGCAAGGATGCATCTTCACAATTGCAGTTTCAGATCCGGTCCCTATGCTGCTCACCTGTGTGCCGCTTTGGTCCCTGCACAAGTGATTGCTGAGTGGTGCAGGAAAGTTTCCTACAGTGGGGGAAGGGACAAAGCAGCTCTGCCAAGGAACCTTCAGCAGAGGATTGGCGAGTACCTGGAGGAAAGTTTCCTGTAGATCTCTCTGGAGGTTTCCCATGAAATCTCGGTGTGTATCAACATGCTGTTCTGCCACACTGCTTAACTGCATGGGATATGGAGCACACAGAAACACAGCTAGTCTTGCACATTTCTATCCCTTCACCCATTTCTAGAATATGCAGAGCAAAGAACATCTCTATCTCATAACCGAGCAGCATCAATGCAAAAATATCATTTACCCAGGACTCTCCTCTCTTACATCATGAGCACCAGAGACGGACTGCTGGGACTGGCCAGACCCTTCCGGAGTGGGAAAAGAGGTCCTGACTCACCATGCCACCAGACAGCTGTGACATGTGCACCACCTTTTCATCTACAACTTCATCCTTGGGGTTGAGTCCAGTGTCTGCTGCCTGCCGCCCCATCGAAGTATCCACTTGGCTTTTGGTGGTGGAGGTGGGGTTGCTGCTAAGGATGGTGTCCAGCTCCTTATAGAAGTGGCAGGTCTTTGGCACAACACCAAAGCAATGGTTTACCTCCCTTGCCTTCTGGTAAGCCTGCCTCAGCTCTTCTGTCTTCGTACGGCACTGCATCATGTCCCATTTGTGGCCCCTCTCCAACAAGCCATGAGAAATCTGCCTATAGGTATTGAAGTTCCTACGGCTGGAGTGGAGCTGGGACTGCACACCTCCTCTCCCCAGTGCCAGCAGATCCAACAACTCAGATGCGCTACAAGCAGGAGAGCGTTTGTTGCGTGGAGTCGTCATGGTCAGCTGGGAAGATGTGATGTGAGCTCTCCATGCTGTGCAAACAGGAAGTGGAATTTCAAAAATTCCGGAGCCTTTAAAGGAGGAGGGGCAGATGCCTGTGTACCTGGGTGCAGGGGGAGTTCGAACTGCTGACCAGAGCGGTCAGGATGGGCATTGTGGGATACCTCCTGGAGGCCATTTATAGCAACATAACCAACCACAGTGTCTAAACTGACATTTTGTTAATCTAACTTTGCCACAAAAAGCTCTACACCTCTTGTCGAGGTGGTTTTATTTTGTCGGTAAAGCAGGAGAGTTTTGTTGGCAGAAGTAGCATTGTAGTGTATACATCGCCACTGTTTTGTTGACAAAACATGACTTTTGTCAACAAAACTGTGTAGTGTAGACAAGGTCTAAG